TTACAAGCTTTTATTTAACGCACTTCCTCTGTCGTAAGTCGTCAGTCGACAGTCTGTCGTCAGTCTAGATCGAAACGTAGGAGTGAAAATTCGGACACTTCTACTTGACCGATACGATTCACATTTGACACGTGTGTCAAGACATGAAGACAATGCAATCTGAAACTAAATTTGACTTAATTGGATGCCTAATTAATTTTTTATGAATTAATTAAAATTTGGACCGAATCAATAGGCATGTCTATCCAACCACACCACACGCGTCATCACGTTCAATAGCTGCGCCATCACCTTCAGTAGGTGCGCCATCACGTTCAATAGACGCGCAATGGTTTTTAGTCAAGTCACACTATTGTAAATAAAACATGTAAAGTATTGAAAAAAAATTCATAAAAAACGTTTTAATAACAAGCTTTTATGTAATGATGCACTAAAAAGTAGAAAATAAATTATACACTACTATTTAAATTACTATAAAGAAAAGCGTGGGTCTCTTCTCAAATATTAGTAAAGGTATCCAATAGGTACTAAAGTACTAAAGTGACCCACCCTTTTCTTTATAGTAATTTAAATAGTAGTGTATAATTTATTTTCTACTTTTTAGTGCATCATTACATAAAAGCTTGTTATTAAAACTTTTTTTATGAATTTTTTTTTACAAGATTTTATTTAACTTGCTTCCTCTGTCGTCAGTCGTCAGTCTGTCTAGATCGAAACGCTGGAGTGAAAATTCGGACACTTCTACTTGACCGATACGATTCACAGTTGGCACGTGGGTCAAGACATGAAGACAATGCAATCTGAAACTAAATTTGACTTAATTGGATGCGTAATTAATTTTTTATGAATGAATTAAAATTTAAACCGAATTAGTAGGCATGTCTATCCAACCACACCACACGCGTCATCACGTTCAATAGCTGCGCCATCACCTTCAGTAGGTGCGCCATCACGTTCAATAGACGCGCAATGGTTTTTAGTCATGTCACACTATTGTAAATAAAACATGTAAAGTATTGAAAAAAAAATCATAAAAAACGTTTTAATAACAAGCTTTTATGTAATGATGCACTAAAAAGTAGAAAATAAATTATACACTACTATTTAAATTACTATAAAGAAAAGCGTGGGTCTCTTCTGAAATATTAGTAAAGGTATCCAATAGGTACTAAAGTACTAAAGTGACCCACGCTTTTCTTTATAGTAATTTAATATAGTAGTGTATAATTTATGTTCTACTTTTTAGTGCATTAGTACATAAAAGCTTGTTATTAAAGCGTTTTTATGAATTTTTTTTTTACTTTACAATAAGTAGCGGGATTCAGTGGGTGGGGATCGAACAGGGTCCATCCGTAGTAATATCATTACAGGCGTTGCCGCATGGTCGTGCAAGCCATTGAGAGAATTACTAAACATCCATGATCACAACTGAGCCATTTTTAAATAACCATGAACAGTGTTTTCACAACAAGCTGAGTCCAACATTTGTCAATGTTTTTCTTTACCTTAATGAAATTTCATTTGTTGATCTAATTAATCTTTAGTCAATGTGGCCTTACAAACACTATACGTTTTTGGTTTTCATCCAACCGCCAAGAAAATGTGGGAAGTCGTAGACAATATTCCAAAGGCAGAATTTATTTCCAGACGGTTTTTTCTGAAAAGGTGCCTGAAAGAAACTCTGACTTTTGGGAAGGTTTCTGCCATTAAATTTTTTAGTTTATTTCTGAAGGCGGCGCGGTTTGCCACTCAGAGTTTCCCAGTGGCCATCTTTGCACCTGGGGTCCGATGATTGGGTGTCCGGCGCAGCGAGTCAGCGTTACTACTTAATTCAGTGGTCAAATTGCACGGGATACGTCGGGATACTAAAATCGATTACTAATTCGAATAAGGGGCTGTCATCCAGCGCATCAGCAGTAGTAACGGTTGGTCGCCCCGAGTTACCCAGCGGCTACCTGAGTGCACGAGATCCGTTGATTAACATCTTTCGACTACCTACGGTAGTGTAACCAGTTACTCCCGCGACGCCCCTGACACCTAGGCGCTCGCCAAAAAGGTATTCAACCTCACTATCAAGGAAGATGATTTACATACACTCAATGCTTTTATACAGCACAGCCAAGGGCGTCTAAGCGGTAGTGTGTACCTACCATGGCCGCCGCCATGGCCCCCGTGTTTACTCAAGGTACCACCCCATTGTCCCAAACAATTTTGCATTTTTTGTGGGGTGTCACCCCGTCTCACTAATCTTTTATTATTTTAGCAACATACAATTTAGTTTTGAGAGTAAATATTTTACAATGTTTGGTCATGTTGTCATACCTAAATGTTGTCATCAAATGCGGACCGCACCTCTGCCCCCGCTTTATGGCTTTACTGTGTTAACTCAAAAAAACATATTAACTGCAAGCCTGTAACATTTGTAAAAAAATACATAATAATATAATATAAATACGCAATCAGGACGTTTAACATTTAAAATGTGCAGAATATTTATTTTATTTAAAAATCCTCCATCATAAGTAGCAGTTGTTTCTTAGTTTAACTCCATTGTTGCCTGACGGCTGACGAAGGGGGCCCATCGATATTTTTTGCATACGGGCCCGAAAATCCTAGCCACGCCACTGCCCCCCACCCCAACTTTTAGTGGTGTCATTGCGACGCTGCTGAATATCTGAGTAAAATTGTTCCTTTATTTTTAAAAAAACCGGATTACATTAAAAACATGTTTATGTGGTGTGTAACTTCGGTGTTTCCCTGCGCACCAGCGGGACACAGCGCACCAAACAACACCAGCCGTGTTTTGACCGCACATTTGCGAAAAAAATAGTCATGAATAATTTTCCTTTAATCTAACACGATTACAAGATCTAGAGCTTGTAATTTAACTCTATAGACCTGAGCGGAGACCAACACGAACATCCGGACCTATTCTGTAAAGATTCCATTTTAGTATTTACGCATGCAAGCAGATTCAAGTTAAAGAAAACACGCAGATCTAGATTCTAGATGTATAAATAAATAAATATCTCTTTCTTAAAATTAAGAATTCAAATATTATGTTATAAAACATAGATTGTTATTTACGTGTGATTATGTAAGTTGATTCTGATTGTAAAAATTGAATTCGAGGTCATCTGTTTCTTTCAAAATGTGTTAGAAGCTCTGGGATTCGCCATCAGATTTTTAAACTTCCAAAGTCAAGTTTACATCAGAAATTGGTAGACTCATTCACCTCCTAAGGTATTAACGTTAAACTCTCCAAGTCAAGTTTATCTCAGCGATTGGTGGAATCATTCATCTCCTAAGGTATAGACTTTTGTTCGGGTATCGAACTCTGGACATTGCATCGACAATAATGTTCATACTTTTCATCGATTAGCAATATTCTTACTCTGAGAGTTTTGAAGCGGACATAAAGTGTATACATCTCCTTGGGCGCAATTAGTATAATTTAATCACTTTCATAACCAAGCAGGTGATTATAAATTAGTTTTTTCCAAAGCAGAGGCTTTATAAGATATGCTTCTTCGAAAACCAGTTTTTTTCATAATAGAATATGTGTGTATTATTTTTTTTTCATTTTTATTTTGGTTTGTTGAGGGGGCGGGAATAGAAGGTCATACCTCGTTTGTTTCATTCTTATTTAATGTCAACTTCTTTTTTGCACCGAACGAGAACCGGCTTCCTATAATTCACACATGCCCTTAACGCTTGTTGAGATCTGTTTACCTGATACAATGGGTGGCTGCGTTTTGAAGTGATCAACGAACCGTGTCAACTAGAGTTAAAGCCAGCTTCTATGTGGACATGGGCATCTGTGAATTATTGCCGACGATGTGAATTCATAATTCTTCACACACACCCATTCATAGGACCCATATATATATATATATATATATATATATATATATATATATATATATATATATATATATATATATATATATATATATATATATATATATACGTATATCCACTCTGACCCAACACGGATGTACACACAAATTCACACCCAAAATTATTTGAAAGAGGGGGTGGGGGGGGTTGGTTAAAATTCACGTTAAAAATACGTGCTGTCGTCTATGAACGACTACTTTCTAGGAAAATCATACGCCGAATGTTGTCGATTGATATTTTTTTACAAGCTTTTATTTAACTCACTTCCTCGTCAGTCTATCTGTCTGTCTGTCTAGATTGAAACGCCCGTGTGAAATTGCAGGCACTTCTAACTGACAGATACGGTGGGTCAAGACATGAAAACAACGCATCGTGACATTCAATCTAATTCAATTAGTCGCATGATTAATTTTTTATGAATTAATAAAAATTTGGACCAAATTAGTAGGCAGTTCTATTCACACGCGTCACCACGGCCGTGTTGGGCATGGAGCGAAGTGGGTGGGGGGGGGGGGGGGGTTCTACGACAAAAGCGCGTCATCACGTTCAATAGGCGCGCGTTGGTTTTTAGTCGGGTCAGCAGTCTAGTTCTTTACCACTAGACTACGCCATCCCAAAATACTCTACTGAAACTTTAGCTATAAACTTGACAATGGTTTTTGTTAATGTAACTATTGTAAATAAAACATGTAAAGTACTGAAAACATATCCATAAAAATCGTTTTAATAACAAGCTTTTATGTAATAATGCTCTAAAAAGTAGAAAATAAATTATGCACTACTATTTAAATAACTATAAAGAAAAGCGTGGGTCTCTATTTTCAAATATTAGTAAAGGTATCCAATAGGTACTTAATTTCGGATTTTCCCAAATTATTTTTTATCCTAAAAATATTTACATAAAATGCTGTAGCGCCGTATAGTATAAATGCAAACAGGTTTACCTGGATTTATAAAGTATATTAAGTCAGCCAATCCGCTGTTAAGTAGGACTACACTGGCCGATTTAGCGGGATGATATTATCACTGTTGTAAAGTAAGCTTCCTATCAATTAATCCAACAGACCAAGATCTACTTCAAAGTGACTAGCCCATGTAAAATGGATAATCCTGCGATGGAAAATGCTGAGACACGTGGTCGATCCGTAAGTTTATTTTATTTTATTAGTAAAGGTTTAGGTTTAAGTTAAGACTTAAACCAAGTATGAATTAAATATAAGGCCACTGGCATAGCGATACTAAATCTAATTAAGGATAGTAATAGTACTGACGAGCCGGCCCGCGGCATAACATACGCCGCTATTTAGTTGTTGTTTTTTCTACTTTTCAGTAATTCATAATTTGTGTATTCGACAGTACCAACGCTGCCACTGAAAATATTTCTTTAAAACACTATAAGTAGCTCGTTAAGGACCATAACCCCCCCCCCCCCTACGTTTAAAATCGTTGGCTCTGCTAGTAAACATTTAGAGTGAACACAGCTCACTAAAACCATGTAGGGGTGGGGAGGTAGGGAGCGTGTTTACAGCTTGTTTTCTAGGCGCGTTTGCAGCTTGTTTTTTAGCGGCTCCCAGAAGAGAATTATATATATAGATATTACGTGCAGTGCCGGCGCCAGGTTATTTAGCGCCCTAGGCAAAACTTCTTATAACGCCCCCTTTCACACAAATTCATTACTAAAACATATGTGTAAGAAAGCAATTAATTAAAAGTGACGTATTAATTTATTATCAATTTGCATACACGTTATAAGTAGACAGCAAAATCAAATTTTACTTGCCTTCTTCGTCTCAAAAGTTTGTACTAATTCCTTCAATTCCAGTTTGCAAGCGTAATCACATTATTGAAATTGACGCTGTCCACGAGTCTACTTTGTACTTTACGACATAGCCTCCCCCCCCCCCTTAGAAAATTTTAAGTGCCCCCCCCCCCCTCCCGGGAGAAAAAAGTCTGGAAAAAAACACCGAAACAAAAATTCTTGTAGTGTTGGGCTCTCTGCAGACCTCCCAAGGTGAGTTCCAAAACGGAACTTACCTGTTTTAAGCTTGACTGTCTTTAGTTATAATTGCAACATGTCTATATTGTGTGATTATGGTTTTTTGGTTTTTAAAAAATAAAGATTATAAATGTTATAGATTCCAGCCTAAATTTGTTATATATGAATAATTTAGGAGAGGGTAAGAATCATGAAAAAACAATTAATTAGATGTTTAATTTACGACTAAGGCTGTATGTCTACTAATATTAAGTATTGCAATCTACATCGGCTATTGATTTTTTTGTTTTTCAACTTGATAATGCTAAAAAAACCTACCTAGAACTTAAGCTCTTTATAATTTTTATAGTAGCAAATAATAACTTAAAGTTGTATTTATATGTAAGCGGTCAACATAGGGTGCAGGAATTTGAAATGAATGTTAAGTTAAGCAACGAATTATCTCCCATTTGAAAATCCATTTACCTAAATTTTATTCACGGGAAATAACTTTCACAATAATAGCTAAATTAACCAAGTGTTACTAAGACATGCTTGAAAAACACAATAAAACGTTTTAAATTTCATTACGGTCCTAGGACCTTTGACCACAGGTGCTTTGACCATAGGGGGTTTGACCATAGGGGGTTTGACCACAGCGGAGCTTTGACCATAGGGGCTTTGATCATAGGGCGTTTAACCACAGCGGGCCTTTGACCATAGCGGTGCTTTGACCATAGGGGGTTTGATATACAGGTTTTATTGGAGATGGGGATACTAACGCATATAAGAAAGTATGTGAGAGTAAACCTTATGGTGAAAAGTTGATTGAAAAGCTGGAATTTGTCGGTCACGTGCAGAAGAGAGTTGGAACCAGACTCCAAAACCTAAAAAACAAATCAAAAGAAGTGTTGCCTGATGGAAAGAGGCTAGGTGGGAAGAGTAGACTGACTGAGGCCTCTATTGATAAATTGCAATCTTATTATGGAAATGCAATCAGAGCAAATAAGAATGATATTGTGAAGATCAGGGCAGCTGTTTGGGCAGTATTTTTCCATAAACGAATTTACTTTTTTAAATAATAGCTTTGGAAGCTTGTGAGATCTTTTACATATTTTAATCTTTAAAAATCTTTAAAACTCCACAGGTGATGAATAAGCAAATATCAGTCACATCAAATGGGGTTTTTATAAACTCAAATCAGATGGGACCATTGTCTAACCAGGTAATTGTTTATATATATATATATATATATATATATATATATATATATATATATATATATATATATATATATATATATATATATATATATATATATATATATTCTGCTCGATTAAGCACCACCTTTTCTAGTCGATTAAATTCAATTTAAAAAATGTAACTATTGTAAAATAATAATAATAAACAACACTAATCAGCTTAAAGAAGCGTATAAATAAAACAAATATAAAAAACCGTTAGAGCAACAAGCTTTTAAATAAACTGAAAATAAGAAAATTAAACGAATTTACTTTTTTAAATAATAGCTTTGGAAGCTCGTGAGATCTTTTACATATTTTAGTTCAAGTTATGATCTTTTTGCGTTTAATACTAAATTTTTGCCGCTTATGTATGATTTTAAGAAATCCGGCTAATACAAGTAATTTAAATGCTGAATTGTCATTTTGTATAGTATAAATTTTGGGTTCTGGTAACTGGATTTTTTTCACAAATATGAACTGATTAAGTGTGCGCCTCTTTAAAACTCCACAGGTGATGAATAAGCAAATATCAGTCACATCAAATGGGGTTTTTATAAACTCAAATCAGGTGGGACCATTGTCTAACCAGGTAATTGTTTATATATATATATATATATATATATATATATATATATATATATATATATATATATATATATATATATATATATATATATATATATATATATATATGTATATATATATATATATATATATATATATATATATATATATATATATATATATATATATATATATATATATATATTCTGCTCGATTAAGCACCACCTTTTCTAGTCGATTAAATTCAATTTAAAAAATGTAACTATTGTAAAATAATAATAATAAACAACACTAATCAGCTTAAAGAAGCGTATAAATAAAACAAATATAAAAAACCGTTAGAGCAACAAGCTTTTAAATAAACTGAAAATAAGGAAATTAAACGAATTTACTTTTTTAAATAATAGCTTTGGAAGCTCATGAAATCTTTTACATATTTTAGTTCAAGTTATGATCTTTTTGCATTTAATACTAAATGTTGGCTGCTTTGGTATGATTTTAAGAAATCCTGCTAATTCAACTAATTTAAATGCTAAGTCTTGATTTTGTATAATATAAATTTTTGGTTCTGGTAACTGGATTGTTTTTACACATATGGACTGATTAAGTGTGCGCCTCTTTAAAACTCCACAGGTGATGAATGAGCAAATAACAGTCACATCAAATGCAGTTACTGTAAAAACAAATAAGGTGGTCCAAATGTGTAACCAGGTAATTGTTTATATATATATATATATATATATATATATATATATATATATATATATATATATATATATATATATATATATATATATATATATATATATATATATATATATATATATATATAAATATATATATATATATATGTATATATATATATATATATATATGTATATATATATATATATATATATATATACATATATATATATATATATATATATATATATATATATATATATATATATATATATATATATATATATATATATATATATATATATATATATATATATATATAGGATAAGTATATGTTTGAGAGAGATAGTGTGTATGGGTGTGTGTATTTGTGTATGTGCGTCTGTGTGTGAGTGTATGTGTGGGTTTGTAAAATACTTTTTAATAACAATTCGTAAAAAAAAAAACTAGCGTACCCGTCCCACTGTAATAGTAAGGCAGAACGCACCTCGGCGACCTCCCATGTATCAAGGGCGTGGTGAGGCGCTCTCGGGGGCTACCGATTACACTAACGCTTGTGCGCCGGGAGCGTCCCCTGTTTCCGCTAACTCATCTATTGTAGGGTGTTCTATAACACTAATGTAGGTGCCATAGTGCTCAAATGGGAACTCAGTTCACCAAACCCCGGGGCGCCGGTGGACGTGTCAGGTTCGATATTATAGTATCCAAAGTCTATGGATCTCTTTTAAACGAACTTAGGCGCTATAGTTATCGCGGGGAGCGTCAAATCGCAACCCGCCAATTTATTGAATGATTATATTATCCATCGCATCCAAAGTGTATCGCACTATATAAAACGAACGTATGCACCGAAGTTCTTACATATTAATGAGCATTAAATGCTGCTTCATTTCCTCATTATTATCATTTCTACTTTAAATTTTTCTTTACATGTAGAAATGTTTTTATTGTTACATGTTTAATTTTTAATTTATGGTTCAGCAAAATACAAACCCGAACACCCAACCACCTCCAGCAAATGTTCAGATAACAATGACTAGTGATGGTACCAGTTTCCAACAAAATAATGGAAGCGGTAATTTATAAAATTTATAATATTTAATATTTTACAATAATAATAATATATCAAACTTACAATAGAGCACATGTATGTATGGTGTTTGAAATCACCAGCTTAACTCTATAATATGACTAGTAGTGCTTGAATTATATCACTATGTAAAGTAAGAAGCGACAGTTAACCATAAAAAAATTAAATGGCCGATTCTAGCCGGAAAAAGATACGCATGTGCAATGGAGAGAAACTAACCCCTTCATTTGTGGCAATGTTTTCGATGGTACTGTGATTGGGTGTCTTTACAAACAAACCGCAGAACCCTAACCTTATCCCTTACTCCAACCCTAACCCCAACCCTAACCCTAGCGCAGCTATTAAGGTCACAGCGCATGTGCACAACTATTGAGTATCGTATTTTCTGCCGAAACATCTTTTTCCGAGTAGCCACTTTTGAATTAAACACCATTATCCATCAAAATATCAGTGTTTTATGCTCACATTTGTTTCAATGCAGGAGCAACTCAAGTTTCTAACTCCGCCTATGTAAGGATCAACGTCGCCAGGCAAGAATCACAAAACACGCTCACTTTCTTGCAAGCTGTGTTTGTTATTGTACAATCTACAGGTGAGATGTTTACTGAAATAAGCTGGCCAGTAAAACTATAGGGAATTATCAATTTGAATACTATAAAGAAATGTTATGTTTTGTGAAGTTTTAAAAGAATGTACTTTTTTTTACAGTTTGTTGCAGCTTTTGTCTTGGATTTTACCTGAGTGTTCCTATTCCCATGATTGTCATTGGTGAGCGATTACAATTTTTAAAAATACGTTGATCTATTATTTAGTTCTTGTCTGAGTATTCTTATTTCCAAGATTTTTCATAGTTGATTGATTTCAATAAAAATATTTTGATGAATTCAGTTTTTGACTTACTATTCCAATTCCCATGATTGTTTTGATAAAAATTGCAATAAAAACATGTTGATATAGTGACAGAAGAGTGCTAGGATAAAAATTAATATACTTTTTAATTAAGTAAAACTTTATTTTATTTAAAAGTAAAAAAAAATCGTGAAAAAATGCTCTAAATTTCTCTATAAACGTTTTAAAAGACCAAAGAATTTTTCAAAAGTATTATTTATAAAATATGTCCCCATAATTATCTTTAATGTCGCCAGGTGCTCTGTACAAAGATGACTGTCCGATAGAGCCCATGATCCCCACGTACCTACTCCTGACTGGAAGCCTTGGTCTACTCACCTCCTTGCTCAGCTTGGTCCAGGGAGAGGGAAAACGAATGTCTACCGTAGATGTGCTTCTCCACCTGTCTCAGCTGTTTTCGCTCATCGCAGGTGAGTCACTTGAAGCACTTCCATTTCATTTTTATTTAGATAGGAGGAGAAAGCAGTTTCTTAGAGGCATCTCTTCGGGGGGGGGGGGGGGGGGGTGGAAGCCCCCCCCCCCCCCGAAGAGTCTACCCCCCCTCCCCCCTCCGGAAATTTTAGTCTCCCCCCTATGAAAAAATTCTAGGAGAAACACTGGGAAAAGTGAATAATGTTTAATCAATGCTACTCTTATGTTATATAAGGGATGGAAACGAAATCCGCATTTTGGAAATGAATTCTGCCCCATTCTACCTAGATATGGGGAAGGGAAGGAACTCTGTTTAATTCTACCTAGATATGGGGAAGGGAATGCATTCTATCGAATTCTATCTAAATATGGGGAAGTGAATGAATACTATCCAATTCTACCTAGATATGTGGAAGGGAAGGAATGCTATCCTATTCTACCTAGATATGGGTGGGGGAAGGAATTCTAAACTAAAACAAAAATTATTTACTGACCTCCCAAACTGACTCGTCGCAACATTTCTCACCCATCTATTATATTCTTATTCAATCTTATTTTGTATTATAACAATGAAATAGCATTTCTTTATTCCAAATTTTTGAGTGCTATGTTAATGCTATGTCTTTACTACTCAATTGCTTTTTTAAATGCTGTTATTACGTTGTTGCTTTTGTTTTTTACAAACACCAATGTGAATTAGAAAACCACCGTGCCTCGTGTTGTTACCGTAATTGAATAAATTGAATTGAATAAATTGATACAAATTATTACAATAATTAATTATATTTTATTTTTGAAACATTTCAGGGAGTATTTTTGTGTACCGCGTTTTACAACGGCCAATGTGAATTAAGGCCACCGTGCCTCGTGTTGTTACCGTAATTGAATAAATTGAATTGAATAAATTGAAACTAATTGAAACTAATTATTACAATAATTAATTATATTTTCGTTTTGAAACACTTTCAGGGAGTATTATAGTGTACCGTGTTTATGACGATGTTACCTATGATTCTGCGAACTCCAAGGAATATTGCCACAAGATATTGTATTTGTTCGCCTTTTGGCTTACCACATGTAGTTATATAGTCTTAGGACTGTGTTGCTTGTGCGGGTGTGCAGCATGCCTGTCTGAACTTTGAACTTCTTAAAAATATGTAAAAAAAAATTTGTAATACAAATTACATTATGTTAAACTTATTCAGATATCCAGCATATTCAATTTTCATATTTCTAAAAAAAAAAGTAACAAGCTTGTCATCTAATATTTGATACAAAATAAAATTATATGCATTGAACCTGTCAACTAGTTTTTTATGGTTTAATTGCTATTTAAATATATATATAAAATATATCTAGGCCTGTTTAAATTATTAAAGTATTTTATCTAGCTCTGCTAGAATAATAATAAAAATTCCCTTTTCAAACCTGATAGTCTATAGGGCAAGAGTTCACTTGTTTCTGTGACCTCGGTATATGAAGAGATAGTGTGGTCAGCCGCCTTTACTTTCCCAAACGTGAGTTAGGTACTCATCACAGTTGGGTGGACTCATGGACATTCTACTGACTTGAACCCGGATTCGAACGCGATAACTTACGGCTTTAATTATTGAATACTATGTACAATAAGTTGGCCATGCATGCCTTTTGAAAGTTTGTTTAAACCTGGCTCATAACTTGTTTCTCTTTTTTCTCTTTGTACGCTATATAAAAGGGGACGGAATGGTCTAGCGGTAGAGAGCTGGATTGCTAACCCGTATGTCTCGTGTTCGAATCCGGGTTCAAGTCAGTAGAATGTCCCTGAGTCCACCCAACTCTGATGGGTACCTAACTCACGTTAGGGAAAGTAAAGGCGGCTGGGCATAGTGCTGACCACACTATCTCTTCATATGCCGAGATCACAGAAACAAGTGAATCCTAATTCACTTGACGGTAAGGTTTGGAACAGTGTATAAAAATTAAAGTAGATTTTGGTTTGATACCGTTCATTCGATAGTTATGAGACTTTGAGGAGTTGATTAGAACACTCTGGGGAAGCGTTCTGTAAAAAAAATCATTTTTAATTTCGCAAGGGCGGCGCCACGGGAGAGTGAGATTTTCCTCTACTTGTGGTATATAAAAATAATAAAAGTGAATTGCAGTGACACTGTTCACACGATCGCCATGAAACTTTGGAAAGCTGCTAAGAATATTTTGTGAGGGTTCTGCGAAAAAAAAAGAATCAAATTCGCAGGGGTCGCGATTTGTTTTTTCTCAATATACGGTATATAAAAATAAAAGTTTGACATCGTTCATCCGATCGCCATCAAACT